ATTATAAATTTTCTATTATTTATTTTTAATTTTTCTTCTTATTTTTGTAATCCTAAAATACGTTTTTTTATTATTTTTATGTGTCCTTCAAACAATCTTTCTTTATATTTTTTCTAATTAACATTAAATTAGATTAATTAATCATAGCACAAGTCTATGTAAATTTGATATTTGAACTTCTAACCACTTTATTACTTGTGACAATTGGTACATTTGCCTTAACAAATCATAATAAAATTGATATAATTATATTTTGAATTTTTATAGTAAATCAAAATACATGGAGAAAAAAAAAACTTTTTGTACTATTTTTTAATTTATTTATATCATTCTTCTTTTCTTGTTTTACTTTTTATCATTTTTTATAGTTTTTTATTTACGCAAGACAAAATTAGTATTTAGATAAAGAGAGATTGTGGAATAATTGATTGAATAAGTAACCTAATAGTCTAGCCAAGTCATACAACTGGATGAATTTTAAAAGTTAAGAGTTTTTTTTTTCTCTCCAGAAGTACAATGAAGAAATTTAAACATAATATTTTGTGCACACTATCTCAACCAGCACCACTAGCTAGTTCACGTGTGTTCAGAAAACTGTTAGAAACACATTAAACAAAAATTCAACGCCAATGATACGATTTTCCCTTTCCCGAATAATTGTTTGCAGCATTCCAAATTGGTTCAAAACATGTCCTAAAACATTGTCAATACCAGCTTCCCAAAACATTGTCCACTGGATAGGTAGCCAATGGATGTCAATATGCAATAGGAAAAAAATTGGTAGAGAATTTACGGCTCTCATACTTTTGTAATCCCCGTGGCACTTGTTAGAATAGTGGATTAAGCCTAACTCAACCCTACAAAACCGGCTTGTAAGGTGAGGGTTGCTCTCCACTTATATACTATTTAATTGTCTAATCTCTAGTCGATGTGGGACTTGGGTTTTTCCCAATACACCCCCTCACGTCCAGCACTATTGGGCTTGGTACGTGGATAAATGGTAGGTGACCCTTTTTAATGATCTAGGATTGGCGGGACTTGAATACACCCCCTCATGTCCATGGTGCATGTAGCAATGAATGGTAGGTGGGACTTGAATACACCCCCTCATGTCCATGGTGCATGTAGCAATGAATGGTAGGTGGCCCTTTTCTAATTGACGGGACTTGAAATACACCTCCTCATGCCCATGGTGCATGTATCAATGAATGGTGGGTGACCCATTTTTAAAGTGGATCTAAATGGCTCTGATACCATGTTAGAATAGTGGATTAAGCCTAACTCAACCCTACAAAACCGGCTTGTAAGGTGAGGGTTGCTCTCCACTTATATACTATTTAATTGCCTAATCTCTAGTCGATGTGGGACTTGGGTTTTTCCCAATAAAATATCAATTTTAATATAATTGTTTAATGATAATAAATTAATTATTTATAATTTATTACTTAATTAAAAACTTTTCTGACTAATAAATAATTACCAGTAAAAATATATATTAAAAGAAAAACGACAGCACCCAACACTTTCTACGAACAATTCTTGTATGCACACAGACGTAGCTACAATTTTTTTAACAATGAGACAATGCTTGTAAAGATCCTTACTCGTTAATGTTATCGGCATGTAATGAATTAAGGCTATCTTGCATTGTGTCCAACATTTAATGTTGTGTTTTCATCATCGAAAGTGATTGTTGACAATGTCTCTTCTTTCTCTTTGGACATGTCCCTACAATGTGACTATAATTAAAGACCACAACGCTGAAAACTAAATGGAAACCCTCATGCTCCACGTTAAACTGGTGATTTATGAACTAAAAGTGCCCTACAACAAGAAGGCTTTAGTTGATTTCCAAACACATTCTTGCAAACCATCACCTATCTACATTCATAGTCACCAAATCCACTTTCATTGGTCTCTCATCGCTAATGCCAACACTAATTGAACATTTTTGTCCTACCATGCCCTAACAAGGAAACCTTTTCCAAATTAATGTGCTATTATTTTTTGCATCTAGAGAGAAACAAAATTTAGAGTCCATGGCCTTTCAGTAAGATAGTGATCACAGATCGTGTTTGGGACACCACTAATGAATTTTTCTTGATCCATTGCAAGATCAAACTTAACCACATGAAGATCCCACGTCCAAAACGTTTACCATATCTATGTTGCTAGAGATTTCTAAATTTACTTTAGTCTATCTCTCATGATGAGGACCCAATGTTTTTCCTAAGCAGGTTGATGATCATTATATATCGTCATGGCATCCATAAGTCCTACAAGATGTTTTCACTTTTCATATATAAAATTATATTTTGGCTTCAACCGATCATTGCCCTCTTATTTAATTCTAGGGAGATTTCTCTCAATCAAATCAAACTAGTCCCATTCTTAAGAAAGATTGTTGTAAGCCTATCAATTTATGACAAAAAGAAGCATGTCTGTCTCATTTCGATCCACCACACATGCAACGCAAATCTCCAACTGTAGTCTCCTGTAGAGGTGTTGGCAGAGAGCAGCAGTGCAGTTTCCTTGTCCAAGAGAAACCTTAGATGATGAAGCAGTGTCCTTGTCGTAATTGGAAAACCAATGTTCTTTGGTGACTTCGGATGTGCTGTGTTTGGAATCGGTGGAGAACCAATGTCCTTCACGTAAGTGACGGTGACAGTATTGTCAAGATGGCGTAATGGAGATTAAGTGGGGCAATGGCGATTGGGTGGGAGACTGGGAGTTGAATTGCATATATCATCATTCAAGTTGACTGCAACTCAATGTACCTCAACTTTTTAAAATTTTTAGTTCAAATTTCATTCGATTTAAGTTTGTTAGCAATTCAGTTCAACTGCTTAGTTTGAATCATGAGTCAAGATTTTTTTTTAATTTAATACATTTCAAAATTTTAATTTAATAATATATTTTAGATAAAATAATTGTTTATTTTTTTAAAAAAATTAAATATTATTTTATTAGTTTTTGTAAGATTACAATGTACAATTCTAAAGAAATATGATTATAAATAAGTCTGTATAAACTAAAACTACTCCTGTATAAAACAATAGAAAACTTAATTTATAATTATAAAATTCTAAAATGTTCACTTATTTTATTATTATTATTAGCGAAAAAGGCATTTCATACCTTATTAACGTTATGAGATATAGATGTTACAAAATGATTATGTTAGCAATTTATTTTTGAAAAATAATAAATTTTATTTAAATTAATTAAGTGAAATTACTGAATTATCATCCACTAAAAAAAAAAAAAATTGTACAAATCATAATAAATAAAGGATAAAAATATCTTAAAATTTGTGTACATGAAAATGGTGAATCCCCTTTATATATTTTATAGATTAACTTATGACTAAGTTTTGAAAATTTTTTCAAATTTTAATAAACTAAAATTAAATAAAAAGTTAATTATATAAATTATATATTTATATGTCAAGTTGTGAACTAAACCAATTGAACTATACACAATTCAAATTCGGTTCATTTATTTATCAAGTTTAATCTTTAGTTAAAATTTAACTCACTTAATTCATAAATGAAGTTTAACAAATTAATTATTAAATCAAATTTTAAATTATTTTTAAGTTAGTTCGGTTCATTATCACCTCTAATTACACGTATATGTTGTAGGAAAAGGTACATTGAAAAAGATAAAAAAAATATTAAAAGAAAAACAAAAGATAAAAGATTAAAAAAATTAAAAATTAAAAAAAAATTCTCATTCGTATATTTAAAACTCAATACATCTAATTGTGAAAAATTATCTTCCATAATGGTGGAGATATATTTGGGTTGTCCACCATAACCGGTGCATATAATCTAGGGTTAACCAAGTGTTTTTGTCCCAAAACTTTTTGAAATTTGGTTTTTAGTTCTTAAACAAAAGTTTGACTAATTAAAGTTCTTTAACTTTATTTTTGTTAAGATTTTTAGTCTCTAAACAAAAGTTCGACTGGTCATGCATGGTTCCTAAAACTCCATTAAAACATATAAAAAATAATGGAGTTCAAATTATTGTTTAAAGACTATAAATTAAAATTTTAAAAAGTTTAGGGAACTCGGCAAAACTTTTATTCAAGTATAGAAATCTTAATAAAAAATTTGAAGGATCTTGATGGATAAAATTTTTGTTTAAGAACTAAAAATTAAATTTTGAAAAGTGTAAAGACTTAAAAACTTAATTAACCCTATAATTGATAATATCATATATGATAATTTATAATTAAATAATATTATAAAAAAAAAGTAAATTATATTGACACCTATGAAGTTTTGTCAAATTACATTCACACACTTTACTTTTTTATGTCTATATATACTATCTCTTTAATTTTACACTATCACAACTTAGACATTATATAAATATTTTTTAATTATTTTATAAAATCTTATATTATACACTCTATAAGAGAGGTCGGTGTAAATATTAAAAAAAAAGGAAAATTATGTACAATTTCACAAAACATGAGATAATATCAATCTATAAAAGAATTATATAGTTGTCTATAAAATAATTATATAATTGATGTATAAAATATTTTATTTTTTTTAATAGACCGTTATATATTTAATATAAATGATTATTTTGTACGAAAATATTTTTAGTGATTATTTTGATAAAAGTGCTTGAGAAAATGTTTTTATTTTTTTATCTAATTAAATTTTTAATTATTATATTTTATTTATAAATTAAATTTTAATATTTTAAAAATAGTTTTTTTGTTATAATATAAATTATTTATCATAAATTTAAAGTATAATTTATATATTTAAAAACAATTATATATATAATTTATAATAAATTTTGACTATATATATAATAAATATTTGTCCTCTGAAATACACAAAATACTAGTTTTGTTAAAATTTATTCACCTAAGTCGTAAACTAAATAAATACATGCTGGACAATTTAATTGATTCTACCACCCACATCGTCCACACGCTATAACCATTTCTATTACAAATACGTCACCGTATTTGTCACGTCTCCACGCGATTTTCATACAAAAGAAAAGCACAAGTGAACCCAACCAACGAGGCTGTCTTTCGATTCCTTCGTGCGATTCTTCTGATATTCCGAGGTAAAGCACCGACACCGGACCTATCTCCAGCGACATCTCACCAATCTCCGGCGAATCCCCGGTCCCCACTTTCTTCCCTCGAAATGAATCCCGAGTAGTACGTTTCTCTATTCCTTTTCCTTCCAATCGTCTCTGATTTCACCGAAGTTTGTTCCTTTTTCGCTTTTTTGATGTTCCCAGCCAAAAGGGTAGGCGGGGTTGCAATTGAATTTTTGAACATGGGTTGGGTCATGTTAGCATCAAATCTTGTTGGTGTGTAACCCTAGATTGATTGGTTTTCACAAATTTTGACCCGCTTTGTTTTTTATTTATTGGGGGATTGAAATCTTTCGTTTTCCAATCACGGTTCACCAGTGATCGTTGTGTTTGTGAGATTTTATGGTTGATTTTGAAGTGAAAGTTACCCTGATCTTGTCCCTTGTTGATTCCAAGGAATCATTTGAGTTTGTATGATCCGTTTTTCCTTTTCCCTTTATCTTCTCGTTGATCAATACCAGTAGTCACAAACTGGATTGAAAATTGAACTGCACATAGTGTATGGTAGTTTGATTTGTGGTTTGCATGATTTGAGTAACTGTTCATCGGGAGGATCATCAAACAATGCTAAATATGTGTAATTAGGGAAACATGAGAGGTTGTCTGCAAGGTTGTTACGTTGATTTATAGATCTTCATGAATCAAGACTTTGCGATTGGATTTCAATTTAACTGTTATCTTAATGTGTGTGTGAAAGACAAATGATTACTTCTGAATACTATAAGGAACAAGGTTGATATGCTGTGGTTATCCTTTGCAGTGATTATCTGTTCAAGCTCCTTCTTATTGGAGACTCTGGTGTTGGCAAATCATGTCTTCTTCTTAGATTCGCTGTAAGCTTTCAACTGCTTTTTCTTATAGTTATTGTTGTAACTACTACTTGGTTTTGTTTCCTAGAATATAATGTGATGTTTTTTTACATATTACGGGTTTTTTCTACTCTTAGTTACATCCAAGGTTTTAAATTGTTGTCATGTTAAGGTTCTCACGATTACAGGTATTGCAGACTTTGCAATTGCAGTGTGAATTGCCCACAACTTACCACAAAACTATAGGCAATTTTCTATTCTATATTATTATATAATATATGCATAATAACTTGTAATTAATATTTTTATTATGATATATCTTTGATAAAAAAAATAATTTAAAATATTAAAATGTGGCCAAGTATTAGTCATGATAAGTACTCAACCATGGAATAAATTAACTAAATACCCCCAACGGCCAACAATTCCATGTGCCCACACAACCACACACAAAATCAAACCCCCTAATTCCTAAATTCCCACCCTTACAAACAATCCCTCTACCCCTACACATGCACACAATCAATCTCCCTCACCTCCACAAGACTGATGAATAAAATATCTTCTCTTTGGTAACTCCTCCCAAGTCTCCTCTCTATTCTCACCTTTCTTGCTAGCAGCCTGCCTGTGGTCAGTGGTCACAACCTCATAACCACCAAATTTAGTTGCCAACAGCCACAAGGCTGTATTCAGAGGAATCAGCAAATCACAGTCTTATGAAGTACTTGAGTGGCTTAGTAGGGATTTCGAAACAGTGAACTGTTGTAGCCTGATGGGTTAATGCTGAAACTGTACATCTTTTGAATTCTGCATTTGAAACAGGTTTTTTTTGGGGAAAACGTCTGTGGCGGATAAAACAGTGTTTTTTAACCCTATTGCAGCTGAGACATGTAATTTTTGTCGAACCCAAAATATCGTTTCATTTCAGTATCATTGTGCACCAAAACCATTTTATTGAAGCCCTTTTTTGTGTATCAGAACAAATTTTAAAACCTTTATTACATCTCTTGTCCTAAAGAATAATACCATCATTTGGGTGTACTGTGATTATACATGGTAATCGGTAACTGCAACATTTTAATTGATGATGGCTACGTGTTTTATTCTTTGTTTGAGGTTTTAGTTGTTTTGGAGTTCTGTAATTTGGAAAATTAAAGTGACATAATGAATTAGTAAACTTGCCTCTTCTCTTCAGATCATTTCCCCTCCCTCCCTATATGTGTAACAAAATATGCTTTCACCACACGTAGAATGGTTGCAAATTTGCAGGATTATCATTTAGCTGTTCAATACATGCTACAGTTATTTAAGAATATAATATATAATACACTTTTACTAGGTATTTTGATAGGATATTGATGTTAGAGTAGAAAAATAGGGAGATCAAACTCCTTACAAGCAGAAGTAGCGACTGCAAATGCAGGGAAAAAAAAAAAGATTGCAAAGAAATTTAGCATTGCAGAATGCAGATGCACTGAATTTCCCCATTTATTCTTCTTCCTGTTGAAAGTGATGAGGCTGTGTCTCCTGTTGTTGGTTATGGTGT